TAACTAGACACCAAATCTGCCAGAACCTTGATCTTGGATTTCTCAGCCTTCAGAACTGTGAGAAATAAAGGAGTTTTTTTTTTGTTTAAACCACCCCCCCCCCCCGAAAAAAACAGAAGAAGTGAGCCATGGAAACATCTAGGTAAAGGACTTTCCAGGGAGAGGGAATGACCTTGAGGCAGGAGGATGTCGGGCGTGAGGAGAGTAAGAGGCCGTGTGTCTGAAGCATAAGAGTGATGAGGAGAGCCGTAAACAATGAGGTCAGAGCTGTCATGGAGGCCCGAGTTTGTCAGGTCTTGTTGGCCTTTGTAAGGACTTTAGCTTTTACTGAGTAATGGAAACTATGAAGAAGAGAGATGGGATCTGACTTATGTTATAGTAGGGTCACTCTGGCTGCTGGGTTGAGAATAGATGAGGGAAGATGCAGGAACACCAGTTAAGAAGGCGTTACAATAACCCAGGCAAGAGGTGATGGAGGCTGGAACAAGCAGTAGAAGTGGTGAGAGGTGGAATATTCAGAACATATGCTGAAGGTAGAGCCTGCAGGACTCGCTGATGGATTGGATGTGGGCTGTGAAAGAGAAGGGTTAAGAATGACTTCAACTCAGGGGTGCAGGGTTTCTTTTTGGAGCAATACAAATGTTCTCAAATTGATTGTGGTAATGGTCACCCAAGTCTGTGAATACAATAAAAGTCATTGAATTGTACACTTTAAATGGGTGGTGTAGGATATTTACATTATATCTTAATACAACTGCTTGTTTTAAAATGACTTCAAGGTTTTGGGTCTGAGCAAGAGGAAGGATCAAGTGACCATTCATTGAGATGAGGAACACTGTGGAAAGAGCAGGTTTGATGGAGCTCGGTTGGGGATACAGTCATTTGGAGATATACTAAATTTGAGATGACTATTAGACATCCAAATGGAAATATTCCTTAGGCAGTTGGATATTTAAATCTCAAGGTCACAAGAGTGGATGGGGCTGGAGATATGTTTGTTTTAGAAGGCAATAAATGAGACCACCTAGAGAGTGAATATAGATAATAAAGAGAAGAAGGCCAGTGACTGAGCCCTGAGACACCCCCAATATTAGGAGATCGGGGAAATGAAGAGAGAATGAAAGAAGAGACTAGTCGGGTAGAAGGAAAACCAGGATGATGTATGACCTGAAATACAGCAGGCACAGCAAGTATTTTAAAGAGGGTAGAACAACCTTCTCAAATGCCTTTGACAAGTCAAGTAAGATGAGAACTAAATATTGGCCGTTGGATTTAGCAACGTGTAGCTCCTGGAGATCTTAATAAGAGCAATTTTGAAGATGTGGCCAGCGTAAAAGCCTGATTGGAGTGGAATCAAGAGAGAATATGAGAAGAGAAATTAGAGGCAGGAAACATGGCCAACTCAAGAAGTTTTGCAGTGAAGGGAAGGAGAGAGATGGAGTAGTAGCTGCAAGGATATGTGAGGTCAAGAGCTGTTTTGTTTTTTTTTTTTAAGATGGGAAAACTAATGGCATGTGTGTATGCTGAGGAGAAATATTAGGTAAAGAGAGAAATTTTAATGGAGAGAAAGGAAAATTGCAGGAGTGATTCCTTGAGTAGAGGAGGGAAGGTGGGATCTACTAGGGAAGCAGAAAGGTTAGCCTTCTCTGGGAACTAGAAAATTCATCCAAAGTAACAAAAGAGAAGGCAGAGTACATGGGTAGGTACAGGTCAGTGGGTACATGTGGGATGAGAGCTTGTGGAAGTTCTCTTTTGATTGCTTGTATTTTGTCTTTGAAGTAATTAAGAAGCCAGATCAATAACTGAATGCAGGTGGAGAGACGGAGGAGTATTGAAGGTTTGAGAAGAGAGGAGAAGCTGTGAAATAATCATTAGAAAAAATGGTAGAGGGCTTCCCTGGTGGCACAGTGGTTGAGAGTCCGCCTGCCGAGCAGGGGACGCGGGTTCGTGCCCCGGTCTGGGAAGATCCCACATGCCGCAGAGCGGCTGGGCCCGTGAGCCATGGCCATTGAGCCTGCGTGTCCAGAGCCTGTGCTCTGCAACGGGAGAGGCCACAACAGTGAGAGGCCCGCGTACCACAAAAAAAACCAAAAAAACAAAAACAATATGTAGGGGCACAGATCCAATATACATAAACAGAAGACAAGTTAAATGGGCTTACTGGCAGGAAGTGGTTTAAATTGTTTCCAAAGTTTTATTCTGTTGTTTAGATCAGGGGTCAGCCTGGCCTAGATGTTAACTAGTTGACCACATGTGGAGCGATAAGGGAGTAGGAAGACTTTTCACAGGTCCATTTCAAACAAAACAAAACTGCATATAACTAGTCAATTTATCCAATGGACGAAGGGAGTGATGATTCACTTCTTAAAGGATTTTCTTTTTTTTTAAATTAATTTATTTTTGGCTGTGTTGGGTCTTTGTTGCTGTGCGCGGGCTTTCTCTAGTTGCAGTGAGTGGGGGCTACTCTTCGTGTGGCACGTGGGCTCAGTAGTTGTGGCTCGTGGGCTCAGTAGTTGTGGCTCGCGGGCTCTAGAGCGCAGGCTCAGTAGTTGTGGTACACGGGCTTAGTTGCTCCGCGGCATGTGCGATCTTCCCGGACCAGGGCTCAAACCCATGTCCTCTGCATTGGCAGGCGGATTCTTAACCACTGCACCACCAGGGAAGACCCTAAGGGTTTTCTTTATAAAGATAAAGCACGATTCCATTTACAGAAATTCAATTTCAATCCAACCTACCAAGAAAGTATATAACTCTAATAAAGCAAGGTAGGAAATGAACTCATTTCAGATCAAATTGTAACAGGTTCTATGAAGATATAGCAATACCCTAGGTAGAAAAATGAAATTACAATCTATTAGTGGAGATAAAGTTAACAGATTATAAATATGCACATACTTAGGCATAATTGAATGCTAAGCAATCCTAGGGTAGAAGAACTAAAGAAGTAACGTCAAAGAATTTTATGATCTGCAACAATGATGGGTAAAATGACCAATAGTTTACATACCCATGAATGGGGAAAGGACGCCAATTCTAACAAGCTAACCACTACCACCACCTCCAGTTCATCTTCTTGCTTTAGTTGCCACTCCCTTTCCTCTAGCCCTTAGTCATGCCTAGCTTCTTCTGCAGTTTCTACCATGCAACAATGAGATTCCAAACCAAAGCAGGAAAAGAAAGGACACATTGCAAACTTAAAGATCAAAGACCCAGAACAAAAGACAGAAAGCTTCAAAATTTAGTGATTTGTGTACCTTTAATCCTTGTCACAGGATAGTACAAGGATACGTAATGTACAACGTGAGAAATATAATTAACACTGTTGGGGTGATATATGAAAGCTGTTAAGAGAGTAAATCCTAAGAGTTCTCACCACAAGAAAAAAAAATTTTCTACTTCTTTAATTTTGTATCTATATGAGATGATGGATGTCCACTAATCTTATTGTGATAATCATTTCATGATGTATGTAAGTCAAGTCATTATGCTGTACACATTAAACTTATACAGTGCTGTATGTCAACTATAGCTCCAGAAAACTGGCAGGAAAAAAAAAAAAGAGAGTACAAACTCTCATATGCTCTTCATCTGGATTCAGCAATTGTTAACATTTATCATATTTGCTTTATTAATCTCATTCTCTATCTATCTATATATTGAACCATTTGAGAGCAAATTGAGATATCATGCTCCTTTACCCCTAAACACTTCAACGTGTATTTCCTAAGAAGAAGGACATTCTCTTATGTGACTGCAATAAAATTATCCAAATCAGGAAAATTAATACGATTACAATATTATTATCTAACGTATATTCTCTATTCAAATTTTGCCAATTGTCACAGTAATGTTCTTATTGCACTTATTCCTACTCCATGATCCAATCCAGGATCACCTATGTTTAGTTATCTTGTTGCTTTCATCTCTTTTAATCTGGTAAAATTTCATAGCTTTTGTCTTTCATGACATTAACCTTTTTTAAGATGATGGGATAGTTACCTAGATTTGTCTACCTCAAATACAGGTTATGTATTTTTTGGTAGGAATACCACATTATGTTACGTCCTTTTTAAGATAACACATCAGGAGCTGTATAATATCCATTTCCCCCCATAACTCATGATGTCAATTTTGATCATTTGGTGTGGTGGTGTCCACCAAATTTCACTATTGTAAACCTTTTTATTTTGTAATTGATAGGTGATTTATGGGGATTATTTTGAGACTATGTAAATATTATATTCCACATCACACCTTTACTTTCTAGTTTTAGCATCTTTTGATGATTCTTGCCTAAATCAATTTTTTATTGAGATACAATTCACGTATTATAAAATTCACTATTTGAAAGTGTACAGTTCATTGGTTTTTAGTATATTCACAAAGTTGTGCACCAATCACCATTATCTAATTCCAGAACATTTCGTCACCCCAGAAAGAAACCTTTCACCCCTTAGCAGTCACTCCCCTTTCCTTTGCTCTTTCCAGCCCCTGGGAACCACTAATCTACTTTCTGTCTTGGTCGATTTGGCTATTTCAGACATTTCATATCAACGGATTCATACAATACATGGTCCTTTGTGTCTGGCTTCTTGAATTGAACATGTATTCAGAGCTCATTCATATGGTAGTTTTAATCAATCCCTCATTCCTTTTTACCTAAATCAATTATTACTATGGTTCTTGAAAAATGATGATACTCTACATCATTCCATCGACACTTACTAGTTAACATAATTTTTATCTCCCTTTATCAGGAAAGCACTTTAAGAAAATTGCACGATGAAGTTCATTTTAGACAGGGTTCCCTTGCCCTCAAGTCGTTTCCAATCTTAGAAGAAAGGGCTTACAAAGACTACCTTTCTTCTCTGCTTCCCACTTGAACAAGCAGCAATGTGTCTCTCTCGTCTGTCATCCACGGGCTCCTCCCCCTTCTCCAGGTGCCCCTCCCCGGCGGCTCAAGAGGCGGAAGTGACGCAGAGGAAGTGTCCCTCTTCCCCTTGCTGTGGGAGGAAGGAATCAAACCCCCAAGATGGCGGCGGCGTCGGAGGAGCGGATGGCTGAGGAAGGAGGCGGTGGCCACGGCGACGGCGGCTCCCCTTCGGCCATCGGCTCTACCCAGCGACTGCCCCCACCTCCCCCGCCCCAGGCCCCGCAGCCGGGGTCCCAGGCTCCCCCGGCCCCGGCGCTGGCTCCGGACCAGCTGCCTCAAAACAACACGCTCGTGGCGCTGCCCATCGTAGCCATCGAAAACATCCTCAGCTTTATGTCCTACGACGAAATTAGCCAGCTCCGCCTGGTGAGGCCCCCACGGGACCCCCGCCGCCCTCTCCGCCGGGCCGAGGTTTGGGGAGGGCCCGAGAGGGAAAGAGCGTTCCCCGGGGAGGGAGCCCCTTGGGAGCCGCAGCCGGCGCCAGAGCACCGAGTGCGCCCCTCCCGCCCCAAAGTCTCTGTCGGGGCCGGTCCGCGGGTCTTGTACGGATTTTGCCCTTGCTTTGGGGCTGGGGGCGACTGCGTGCGGGAACTTGGCCTTGGGGGGCTCCGTGCTCCCCACCCGGAAGCGGGGCCGCGGCCGGGGAGGCAGCGGGAGCTGGGCTTCCCACCTCCTCCCGACCTGAATGTGGACCCCGGAGGGATCTCGCCACCTGCCTTTTGTATATCACCCTCCAGCCCCCGTCCGGAGTTAGGGGGCCAGCACTCCGAAGTAGGCGAGATGATCCCAGCCAGGTTTGGTTTGTCTGCGAGAATAACGTATTGTTACCCCGCCCCACCCCCGCTAAGTTTTTTTGTTGCAGAAAATAAAGTCGGATCGGTCGGTCCTCCCAAAAGCCGGTAGAGGTTTGGAGGAATTGGAACGTAGCCTCAAGCCCAGCGCCCTAGTTGACCAGTAAAGTAGAGCCCTGAGAAGTGACTATTCCGGCTTTGCCTCACCCCTGATACTTCCCACCCATAGTGAAGCAACTTGCCCCTTGAGAAGGTTTTTTTTCTTTCCTGCAGTTCGTTTTCTAACTAGTGATTTACGCCCACCCACCAGCTTTAGGAGAGGTTTTATACCTTAAAATCACAGTAGTTTAGTCCATGATTTATGAAAATAAATTGCCATTGGGATTTTCTTCATTCCAGAAGTTTCACTGAAGGTTTGATGAATATCTTAGTTCAGTCAGGTATTTTGCTTCCTTTCAGTGAATTTAAGTGGTAAGGAAATTGAAGGAGGTGGACATTTTGAAATGATTGCAGACCGATTCTGTGTGGAAGCTAAATCTGTGGTCGGGTTGTTTTTAAGAGGACAAAGACATATTGCTGAATGTGCTGTGTATAGCATTTTCTTAATAATCAATATGCCATATTTTAGGTGTACACCTCCAATCTAAAATTGATTATAATTGTATTTCTGAAAGTATACTTATTTTTTAAAGGAAGGTTGTAAATATTCATTCAAACTGGTGGACAGTTGTTGGTTTTTTTTCTTGTCAACACAGCACATTAACCATGCCAGTCTGCAGGATGGAAAATTCTTCATTTGAAAAGTGATATTTCAAAATGATTGTCCCTTAATTTCCAGGACATGTCATCCAGAATTTCTTGTAGAATCTTAAATATTCCTTCAGATTTTTATAAAGGATGATGTTTGATCAGAATTCATGGTATACATTCCTGGTGTCTGGAAATTGGGCATAGCATTTGATTGAATTGAGCCTTTCAGCCAGACAATGCCTTTGTAAAGCTTGGGATGTTCACAGTTCTGTTTTATAAGTGTTGAGGAAAACTGGGGGGGTTTGTTCATTTGTTGGTCATTTTATTTTTTAAAAAATTAAAAACGTTTTTAAAGGGGGGAAAACCAGCCTGTCCTAGGGGACAAAGTTAAAAACACACCCCACAATTTATTAGTAAATGACATCTCTTTCAAGTGAAGTATTCAGCTGCATTCTTCATTTTTAAGCAGTTTTCTATTCTAGTGTTTTAAAGATACAAATTTGTAGTTTCAAAGATTTTTTCCATAAGGATCCATTACCACCCCTCCACTAAGGAGTCCCTTACCACCCCTCCACTCCTACCCCCCAAATAGATTCTGCTGACAGTTTTACATCTTAAAAGATGGGTTTTTTTCCTCTGCTTTAGTAATGGGGAACTATTTCTTATTCCTTTCTTAAGGTTAATGGATAATTCTTAGATTAAATGGATAATCTTTTGTGGGGATTTGGAAGTGTCTTTGGTTGTAGATTCATTGGTTTGATGTCATAAGGTACAATTCAAGTAACATGAAAGATTCTTTCTTGCCACTAGATGTCAGCATTCATTTAATTACGATCATTTAATGAAATTGGCTGCCTAGAGATAGTGCTTGTTAGGTCCTTTACAGGCCTTTTCTCATTTAAGTGACCATTTATACCTAAATGCTGTTTGCCAGAAAATCAGTAGCAGTGTGTGTGCTGCTATCTGGCATACAAATTACATAGTTTCTTGAGTGGAGTTAGGTTGGATATAATTGGAAGAGAGTTATAATTGGAAGAGAGTGATATTAATTAAGAACAGAATTGGTTTCCGTAAAGTTAAATGTCAACTATTCAATGGTTGCTGAGCTAGTTTATTTATTTTTCAGGTGTTTCTTTTTTTCTTCCTTCCCAATTTACTTGCCTTATTAGGACCTCAGTCATAACTATTGTTAGCAACTAAATTAGAGGACAGGTGCTTGATCCATGTGCTTAACCACTCTATTTTCTTGAAAAGATTTGCTCTAAGTTAAAATGGCTAAAATAACATTTTTCAATTGCAGTTTAGTTGATAATTTGCTTCCTGTTGCCATGAATTATTGAAGTTTGACTCTCCAATTTAGTTATTTCCAAGGGACTGTCCAAATGCCTTATTAAATTGGATTTTGTTTTGTTTTTTCTGCCATTGACTACTTGCTCCAAAAATGTACATGGAACTTGGAAATCCTGGTTACATAAAAATAACTCTTTAAATATTTAACTTCTCCAATATATTTAAAATTAATTGGATGAACACAACTTTTGAAATGACAAAACGTGTACTTTGAGTTGTTCTGCCAATAAATCACACAAGTTTGCGCTGATGCAGCATTAGATTGTCACCTAGGCCTCCTTGGCAGGTATGAGTTTTTGAAACAAGTGGCACAGGTTAAGAAGTGAGGTCCTACAGCTAGTTACAGAGCAGATCAAAGCTAACTTTAAACGTATAACTTTGACTCATGAGTACAGTGTTCTCGCTCACTGAAAAAATGAGTATGGGAGGCTTTAAAAGTTGTCTTAGGGAATTCCCTGGTGGCCCAGTGGTTAGGACTCCCGCTTTCACAGGGGGTTGGGGTTCAATCCCTGGTCGGGGAACTGAGATCCTGGAAGCTGCGTGGCACAACCAAAAGAAGTTGTTTTAGAGAGATCCTATCATACCTTCTCCTCTGTGATTCTAGTGGAGCTCCTATAAAGTTAATGGAATCCTATTAGTGGTTCGGGACAAATTTGACTAAAAGTTAAATTCAGAAGTCCTGCTTATTATCTGGAATGAAATTTTCCAGTTGGTAACAAGGTACATAAATATATGCTTTTGTCCCAAGATATTTCTCTAAAGCACTGTATCTAGTTAAGTCTATTACCCATTTCTAGTTCCTTTCACATCTTTTCTTCAAATGTGTTTGAAAACTTCTGTTGTAGAGAGGGTTGATTGGTAGAAAATATGAAGGAAAATGGGAAACCATTACTTGTTTTTTTAAGTAGGCAAGCTGTCTTCCTCCTATCTCTTGCTCTATACCAGTAGTTCTCAAATTTTTTTGTCTCGGGACCCCTTTACACTCTTAAAAGTTATTGAGGACCCTAAGAGCTTACCTTTGAAAAGTCTAGAAAACACAAGAATACACAATGCATAATTCCCTTAGCTGTCATCACATGTCATGTTACCTCTAGAAAATTCTGCTGTATCTTGTGAGAGAATAAGCATGAAAATGGCAAATAACATCTTAGTATTATGAAAATAGTTTAGCTTCGCAAACTCTTGAAAGGATCTTGGGAATCCCAAGGGTCACATACTTTGAGGACCACTGCTCTGTATCGCTGTATTATAGAAAATACACTCTGCATTGCTGGGGGGTTTTTTTCCCCTACCATGTCATCATCAGGTTATTGATTTTATTAACAGGTACTTAAGTATAGGTAACAAATTATAATATTTTGGGGACAGTTCACTCCTGCACAGTCTCAAAGCAAAGGTGTTCAATCAGTAACCCTGTCCACAGTATCATCATTGAGACAGAATGTAAACACCTTCCTTGAGCACACTTACAAAGCACTAGGACAACAAATGCATAGTAGTAAATACAAGAATGTTGAGGTTAATCAGGAGAGGCTTCCTCAAGATCATGAATTTTCATCCAGTCAGAGGTAGAAGAACATTCCCAGCAGAAAAAAGGCATGTAATTATCCTAATTGTTTTGCTCAGGCTAATATTAAAATAAATTTATATTTTCTTTCCAAGTGAATATTTAGGGAGGACACCCAGAGAATTTTTAATTTTGTAATTTTTTTTACCAGCAGACAATTGAGAATTAACTCTGTCTCTCTCTCTATATAGTATTGTATCTTAAACAATCCATGCCAGGTAGATAGAATTTTTTTATAAAAGATTAAAGTATTCTTACGAAAGAGGGGGCAGGTTGTATCAATATTTTTAATAGGTAAGGGAAATTAAGAGGAGTTCACTGAAAAAAACAAATAGGCCTGGCTCATTCATTGTTCATCTTTTAAATGATTTTATCACCTGTCATTAACTATTTGCCACATTTGCTTTATCTCTCTCACTTGTATGCTTATTCACCATTAGAAAGTAAGGTGCAAATATAATGACATTTACCCCTGAATACTTCTTCTATATAATCACAATATCATCACTTCCAAGGGATTTAATATTACATTTTATATTCAGATTTTTCAGTTGTCCTCAAAATATTTTTTTTTAGCTTGGAGGGGTTGGGGAGGTAGTTACGGTTCTTTAATAAAACATTAGACTCTTTAATCTAGAAAATTCCTCCCACTTTTTCACTGTTTTCATTCTTTCATGACTTTTTGAAGAATCCAGCCCAGATGGCTTGTCTAATGTTCTACACAGCAGATTTGTCTGATTGAGAGGATTATAGGAAGATCTTTGTCTAGCTCCATCTCTAAACTTTAGTAGTGTAGTAGGAACCCCCCACTAACGTCATTAAAAAAAGGAAGTCCTACTTTCTAGACTAGTGCCAACATTTTCTATAGCAGTGGAGTATTATTTGAGACTCTAATCAGTTGAGAATAA